TCAAAGTCAACGACCAGGAGGGAGTTCAGCAGATAGATTCCAGAGGGTTTATCGCAGATCTAAACTATTAGTATGTTCGAAAAGTAGGAAGGTCAGATGAACATAAGCGGATTGGATGGTTGCGGGTCCAAGCCTCGCGTGGTGCACCCCCTGAGCTGATGGCGGTTAATGCCCATTCCTGTCTTTCTTGTGTTTGTTAGTAGTGTTCTTCTGTCTAAGGTCAGATAAGTTTGTCAGAAAAAAAAACATCTGAACCCCCCTGCACAGTTTTGGATCAACAAACTGTACACACATGGAGCAAAATTAAACTTTCAACAAAATGTTTGAAAGAGACGAGCGAGAAGCATGAACATGTACGACTGGCAGCATAACTAGTTGCCGTGTATTTACTGATGGCGTGCCTGGGGAAAAAAGTTGTAGGATTAATACTTAAGTGTACAGAACCAAATAATTTACTCAAATTAGCCCAAATACCGTAAGCCTCCGTTGACCGTCTTTCACAGAACTGATTGACATTTTGTCGAAGGGTACTACCAGGGTAACCTAGGACTTTTCGGGCCAAGTTAATTGTTATACTAATGTTGCTCTGTTGACTGCAAAGGCACGCGGGATTGGTTTTCACCTATTTGACCTGAACACGATCCTTACTGTTGGTTCTGCAGGCAGTTGCATAGTTGCGGGCACTTATAGGCATTTATTATTGAAGAAAGCAAGAGTCAGGCAACTTTACCGACCTGCATTTCCAACACGGGCCAAATTCTCATGCTTTTCTTCTTTTTGACCTGCTTAAGGCGACATTGTGTATTTGTGTATGTATATGATGGCTTAGTGACCGGACAGTCTTGTTCTCTCTTCACATTTATCAGTCCGAAATCCGCCTGGAGCACCAGCTCGAGTTGGCGCGATACCTTCATGTGCCTGTGGGTAACGTGCCCGTTGCTGATGCTCCCCCACACGTCTCTCTCACTACCCTTCCAAGTCCTCCCAGCACCCCGGCAACTCCCCTGCCTACGGTGGAGTTTGGCTGTGACCTCTTCTATGCAAGGCATCTTACCAAACAGAACCACATCCTCTGGGTCAGCGCTACCGGAAGACCAGACTTTGGCGGCAAGGAGGTTGATGATCAGCGTCTAATGCT